GCAAAAGATAGTGAGGAGTATCTTTACGTATTGGGATGCAGTTTCGTGAACTCGATCTTTTCTCTCTCTCTCTCTCTCTCTCTCTCTCTCTCTCCCTCTCTCTCTCTCTCTCTCGATTAAATTCGGATTAAACGAATAATAATGAAAGAAAATTAATAATAATCATAATCATCATTATTTTACTTTCATTATAAAACTTTGATTGATGACAACAATAAGTCAATTCTTCCCCGAAAATTCGATTGCAATGAGTTTCACATTGAAATGGAAGCATTCGTTAGAAACACGAAAGAGAGATAGAGATAGAGAGAGAGAAGAGAGTAGAGGAAATTGAAACTTGCTTCGATTCGAGGTGTCTCGTTTAACGAGGTTGATTAAATTACATCGTAGAATTACGCTCACCTGCTAGATCGAAGCTTCCCGCGAATTTCTGGCCGAGTAAACGCGTTAGCTGATGCTATTGCCGTTGCTATTGATGGTATGTATACATATGTATGTGTACATATGCATACATGCATGTTATGTATATGTGTTTAACGTTTAAAGAGATACGGATGTATCAAAGTAAAGGACCATTCAAAGCAACGCAAAAGAGATTTTGGTTATCTTTGTTCTTTAAAACGAGTATCCACTGTAATCCAAATAGGATAACTCTGATAAGAGAGAAAATCATTAGTATACGTATGTATGCATGTATGGGTAATCGAGTGAAGAGGTGAAATGATGTCGTCATAGAGTAGAAAATTATTTCATTAATTATATTTAACAATAAATATTAATGACGATGAGAGAATGATTATTTGATCGCAATCAATAACATTCTCATGTGTTATCATATTATTAATGATAAAAGGAGATAACGAAATGAAAATTTATCGAAAAACAAAAAGTTATTTTCATTGTCGTTACCTTATCGTTAAGCTATCTTTTTTATATGTCCATTTCCGTTCAATTTTAATATAACATTTGAAAATAATATAAGAATTCAAAATCGTTCGATTTAAACGATCGAGATCAGTCGAATCGTTTTAGAGAGACAGAAACAGAGAGAGAGAGAGAGAGAGAAACTTCTAGTGAATAGCTCAATTAGGTACGATCGAGAGCTACAAAGAGCCGGATATTGTTGCATTTTCGAGATTATCCATGTTAATGGTAGGAAACTCCAGGAACAAACTCTCTTTCTCTCTTTCTCTCTCTCTCTCTCTCTCTCTCTCTCTCTCTCTCTCTATATATATATATATATCTATATATATGTATCTTATATATATTTATTTCTGTCTCTCTCTCTAACAATTTGCAGGAACTTAACTCGATCCTCTCACAGCGATGACAAGTATTGCCAGCAATTTACCAACAATTTGCCCTCGTGTAACTCGAGCCGCCCTCGACGACGATAAATACCGTCCGCAATTTGTCGACCGGATTGTCGCGTCCCAAGCACTATATATTCTCTCGCGAGTGTTAAATTCGAGTATGAGCAAAAGAGTGACCAAAAAAAAAAAAAAATTAAAGACAATCGCAACCTGTGTCTTTTTTTTTGAGAGTTTCCGATATTCTCCAAATTGACAAGAATGTTTTTTTTTTTAAAGAAAGAAACAAAACAAATCACATTTCTATTATATGTGTGTTCGTTAAAAATGTTCAATATATAATCAATAATAAATGACAGCATAGATATTTGTTTTCGAATAAACGCGTTAATTTCAATCATTTTATCTAATTTAAAAATGATTTAAAATATCATTTAAATGAATTTATTTTCTATACGAAAATATATTTGTAATCTCTTCCTCATAAATATCTAACCCATATAATATCTTAAAAATGACATATTCTTCTTAAATAAATCGTGTCACATCTCAAGATTACATTCGAAAAGATAGATGACATTTTTTTTTTCTCTACAATTTACGTTATCATATTCATTTTAAAATGATCTCTTTCGCATGAATCCGTACGGATATACGATAAGCTTTTAAAAATAACACAAAAAGAATAAAAAATCTTTTTTGAAACTTATGTATGTAAAATTTTCACGTAACTAGGTTCAAAAACTAGATTAAAAAAAAAGAAAAGGATAGTATAATGAAAAAGTAAGGGAGAGAAAATTCCAAAACTAGAAACTCGTAGCACGAATCACGTTTTTGCTTTGCAGTTCGCAACCATCGAATAGAAATATGGAATAGAAGACGTTTCGAAACTATAGATAATATTCGTACGCGTTAAAAACGCGTTATTTTGTAAACTTTTTTCGAGCAAGAGAAAGAAAGAGAGAAAAAAAAAACAGAAAGATATGAGAATAGCAAAGTAAATAAACGAACTCGAGTTTTATCAATCTTTCCGTTTCCTTTATTATTAGATATTCTCACATACAGTGTGATTGTCCCCTTAAAATCGTACACCGTTATGTCTATTAGATTTTTGCTTGAAAATTATTAATATAATGTATTTAGAATGAACAAAAGTTAGAAATAAATACATTAGTATATCTTAATTACATATTTTTAATAAGTTTAACTTGTAAATTTTATTAATAACAAGTTAATTAAACAAATACGAAAATAATGTACAGGTAAACACCCATACGTTAAAATAGTACACATTGGTAAATAAAACAGGGAAATTACTCGATTTTTTTCATGTCTAACAATTGATCATCCTTTGTTCTTATTGTTATTTAAATATTGTTTAGTTTCAGAATCAGTTTAATATTCATTAAAGTAAGAATAATATAAAGTACATTTAATGAAAAATGGACATATCTATTAATATACTTCAAATATTTCACAATTTTCAATTTAATTTTTATTAGATAAAAATTTTCAAATCGAGGTTATTACTGCGCAAGAACGTTAAAAAAAAATATGTGTATTAGTTTAAACAATCCTAAATATTAATAAAGTACATTAGATTATTAAACATACCTTAAATGATTGTTAAATAATCGAAAGAAATGTTAATTGTAGTTTAAAAACACGGAGTATAAGTTTGATGCACCGTCCTCTTTGAAATCCACCGTTAGACTGGCATGGTGTCCTCTATGAGAGTTCTTTTATTGAATATTGTTTATATAACTCACCGAAGGTTGTGCATATGTATATATAACAAAAATAATATTCGGAATAAATAAAAGAAACTTTATCTGACTTTCATAAAAGACTAAATGATAGTCTAATGGGGGGGGGGATTTCAAAGTGGGATGATGTGTCGAACTTATACTCCATGTTTTAAAACAATAATATACATTTTCTTCGATCAATTAATAATTAATTAAGGTATATCGCACATTATAATGTACTTTATTAATATATTGGATTGTTTCAATTAACCTAAACTAGGTTTTTTTTAACGTTTTTGCGCAGTAATGACCACGAATTGAAAATTTTCATTTAATAAAATATCAAATCGAAACTGTTTAATATTCCATTAATAGATAATCTAATGTTTAAATAAATATACTTTTGTTTAAACATTACTTATGTCCCGCGTACATTATATCTTATTTATATTTCGATATATTTCGATATCCGGAAGAATAAATAAAACCTTTGATCATAATGACACTGCGCTTGACAACTTCAAATTTAAAATTTAACTGCAACAAAAGACATCGAATTAAAATAATTTTATAATTAACTTGTGTTATAAGTTATATTTTAATGTTTATACAAAATTTACTTTTTATTATTCTTACTTTAATGAATATTAAATTGTTTCTGATATTAAACAAAATATAGATAATAGTAAAAAAACAAAGGATGAACAACTGTTAAATATGAAAAAAACAGGATATTCCCTCCGTTTTTACAATTATGTCAACACATACGATTTTTAGTGACACTCACTATATGAATCCATGTACTTTCGTACTTAAGACTATTATAATGTTTATTAAGAAAAATTATGTTTAACAAAGATTATAATATTTGAAAAGATATGAATGCTTCCCTCGAGAATCGATATCAGAAAGAAAGATCGATTTAAAACAAAGATCACGAAATCACGTATATATTCCTAATTATATTATGTATGTGTATATATTAAATCTTTTAACAAATTTAATTTATTTTTTTAAGAAGTAAAAGCTCATTCTTTATTATTAAGTAACTTTGATATGATACCAAATATATCGACTTGATAATAAAAAAAGAAAAGGAAAACAAAGAAATATATTATATATATGTATATCAAAAGAGATCCAGTAAAGTTAACAATACATTGATATACAATTTATTAATATTTCATAAACAAAAGCTTTTAAAAATGAAAAATTAACTCACAAATTGATAAAACTTATAGAATATACACATAAGTATATAAGAATACATATAAAAATCAATATTAAAAATAAATTTAAAATCAATGTGACCAATGAACCGATAAAATAAATAGATAACAATAGAATAATAATAGAAATGTGAACGACGAAGAAAAGCTTGAATAAAAACTAAATGTATTAGACGGTATCATCATAAAAAAATAACGACCTTCGAACCCTTAGCTATCATTCTCTCCCATCCTGCCAATAAGAAACTCTATTTTTCGTAATAAACTCGTCTAAAGAAGATGATAGTACGAAGAGGTAAGAGATACTTTCTACGAAAAGGGGGTATACTGTATATATATATATATAAAAGAGAGAGAGCATAATATGCTTCTCTTATGGGGCGGGTCTTGCCGGCGGAAAATCAATGGACAACGCGAGCGATGCGTGAGAGCAAGCTAAACCTAGCCGATTTTACATTCAGGAAAATACCACGACGATCCAAGTAACTCCTCTTTCACCTCCTTCTTCCACCATCATCGCTTACACCTATCTTCTTACCTAAGACTAACGTTGCTACAATTTCTCCCTCTCTTTCTTTCTTACTCTCTCTATATATTTTTAAATCAAATAAAAAAAGAAGATAGAGAGCATTTTAACAGTAGATATTTTTTGTTTGCATATATATATATATATTATTTAAATAAATAAAAATAATTTTTCTTTGATAACTTACCTCGAGTTGCGTCGATCTTCCTCGAAAGACGAACCGGTGATACAAGTTTGACTTCTCTGTCTCTCTCTTTCTCTCTTTCTCTCTCTCTCTCTCTCTCACTTTCCTTTTTTCTATCTGTAGACGCTGTGGATTTTCTTTTTATTTTTTTTTTTTTATGGTGTATATATATGTATATATATATGTATATAATATATATGTATGTATTTATTTGTCTTCTTTGGTTTGTTTTGTTTATTTAAATATATTTATCTGATTAATTTATCGTTCGTTTCTTTTTTTCCTCTTGATTTTTAATTGTCATTGGTTCACGTTTCGCGCGCACGTCTTTGTCCTCTGTCTCTGCTCTTCGTACCTGGACCGACGACACAAACGAACTCTCCGCCGACGACAACCAAAGACTTAATGCGACTGCGCCAGCAGGCAACGCCACCATACTACCATCAACAACGACCCACAACCTAGACCTTTCCAAGCGTCTACTGAACCACCACCGAATTCATCTCGTTCGACTCGGTTCATTTAACAATACGCATTTACGCCACGAGAGAGAGAGAGAGAGAGAGAGAGAGAGAGAGAGAGAGAGAGAGAGAGAGATAGATGGAGAGAGAGAGAAAAAAAATCTCTTTTTATTACTCTTCTTTATCTATTGCTTATCATTAGTTTGAGATTTATAGTATGGGTCTTCCTTCTCTATTTTTTATAAGGTTTATAAGAGAGATTAAATTTAGTTAAATTTAGAAACTTAATAAACAACTTTGTACATCAAAATATTGTCGTAATTTTAATTAATAATAGTAATTGTAATAGTATAAAAGGTAATAATTAATATTTGAAATGGAGAAATAATAATAATTGTTGGATATTGAATTAATATTCATTCATTAACAATTGATATTAGAATGCTCTAAAAATAATAAAAATTCAGATGAAAATATTAGATTTCGAGATTTGTATGTATCATCTTATTATTAATCTTGAAGAAAAATATCCTGCGTATATATATATAAGACGAGGACTTTGTTATAAACGACGTATGTCTTTGGGTTAGCAGGCTCCATCCGTAGGAATATAAATAGAATTAAATATTTTCATATTAATGTATATATATATATAATATACTCTTTCAAGTATGTTCAATCTACGATAGGATGATTGTCATAAAAGTGGCAAAGCGCGGGGGAACAAATCACGAGAAGTATTAAGACAATTTAAGTGAAGAGCGATGATCCGAGAGTCAACGCAGTTAACGCATCTACTTCTTGACTATTCCTTCGAATTTCATGATCAACCATGACATCAATATTCGTGCCCCTTACACACACATATATATATATACGTACACGTACAATTGTACGGAGGAAATGAGATCAAGTTTGAGTGATCGCGCGTAAAGTGATCTAAGAGGGAAGAAACGAGGCTAAGGATAGAAGTCTTTTTACCTAACAAAACTACTACATTTTCAAATATGTTCGAATGATTTTTAAATTTCATCGGACTACCAAAGACGATTTCGAAGAAAACGTTCATCAATTCAAAGACGTTTGGGATCGATAAGAAACTAGTTTCGATGCTTGTTAACAAACTAATTTGTATTCTGAAATAACTACAACGTAGATTAAGATTGCTTTCAAAAATAAACATTTATTTCAAAATTAATGCTTACCAGCTGTATCCTAAAGACTAAGATCTCTAACCTATTACACCAACAGTGTTTAGGTGTTTTCTTAAGATTTCTTAAGACTTTTTGCATTATTAAGTTGTGTGTACACTTTTGTTTTGTATAGTACCATAATGGATTCCACAGCAAATTCAAACCTTTACCAATTTACATTTTATCACATGATTCCCTTGCCTATGTATGTTAGATGTAATATAATTGAGAAGAAATATCCATCTACAGATTCGCGACTTTTGAAATCATGTTTACAAACTGGATCATTCTCTTATATCGTCACATGAATTCTGTCGTATTCGCACACTTTCTTAAATATATTTATAAAGTTTAAAATGATAGTACCGCTAAATGGTGATATCACATTTATGGTTCGGAGTATGTATCTAGCCAATAAGAAAAGATCATTGGCCTAGACAGCATCTTTTGTTGATTGTACCAATTCTCCAAACGAAGTTTCCAAACATTGTCGTAACTCTGCATAACTTACAACTAATACACTTTGTTCATCCCGTGACATTAAGCATATCTACAATGAGATTAAACAAGCCTATAGGGTTATTATAATTATAGATTTATATATGTTACAGTTAATGTAAAAAATCCGGACATTGTATAGAATGCCCGGATTCCCTACATTGACCATAACATTTATATACATATAAATAGTCATGAAAAAGTACACGTATAAATATATTCTATCTTATATCTATATAGAAAATTAGTGAATTATACCTTATCATGAGATCCAGAGTCAAGCTTATTTAAGCAAGAGACAACATGTGCCATGTCTAACCAAGGTCTTCCATCGGCGGCTACTTGATGGAAAACATAATCCCTAAATAATTTGAGCATATACCTATCACCAGTTTCTGCCCAAGTAGGTTCCATATTCAATTCTGGTCTTTCATTAATGGTAGCTAATTTAACGAGTAACTTAAATAATCTTCCATTTTCTAATTCCTTAGCAAGTTCGTTCTCGAGTACATCAGACCTAAGTTGAGCAGCATCTAATTGAGTATAAAAACGTGCTCCAATCATTGGCATGAGATCTGTTACACTTCTTCGAGCTTGATTTGAAAGTAGATATCTAAAGAAATATGTTTTTTTTTAAAAGATGTAAGATTTCGTTTTTCTTATATATGTATAGAAAATGCAAAGCAGTATAAGAGCAATATGAAATACTAGGCATACTCGGGACAAAAGACATATATAATACGAACAATATAAGATTTCGAAGATCGGTGGAGTAAGATCGTGCGACGAGCTCGAGAGAGGCCTGCATATTGTCGCGATGGACGGCAAGAAGACTGCGACATGCTAAAGCCAATACCAACTTTCCTAGTGCTATTAAATCCTCTTGTTGATAATGAGGTATGAGTGTAAGTGGATTTGTTGCAGTTCCATCAAATGTAACAACATCCGGTATAGCGACGCAACTCAAACGAAGCCGTGTACGTGACGTTAATAATACTTTGGTGGGATCCAAACACCTGTATGCCAAGCCTGCCAAACGCGTTTTATTTAACTATAATTGTAAAGATACAAGCGTATTGTTAGATAGTAAAATAATAAATACAAACCAGCTGCATGAATTACACGTAGGGCAGCAGTGAGTTGAATGATATAACTCCAAATAACACTTTCAGGAAGCATACTACTATGTTGTTGCCTAAGAATAGTATTTTTTGTATGACTATACGGACGTGGAGCATTGGGATCCGAAGAAAATGGATCGGTATAACCATTCAATTCAGTCGATGAAAAATGCTTGTTTAATAATGTCTCTGATCCAGGATGATAATCATATACGAATACCATGGCTGTAACGATACTAAATTAGACAAAATATATATATATAAATATGTTACTGATAATTGTCAATTACGCACAATGATCGCCAAAGGCCTTAGTAGTAAAGACCTCTCTTAATTGAACTAAATTAGTGTGCGCTAGTCTTTTCCACATATCGACCAAAACCATACATTTTGTATTTGCGAGTCTGAAATCTAAGGACATTTCAAGAATTGTATATAATATAATTTCTATAATAGAGAAATAGATATAACAATAAGAATATGTTTAATACGATTGCGCTGGTACTCACCATGAACACGACGTAAACAATAACGTGTACCACTTTTTATACTGGTTGCTTTATACGTCGAAGTTTGATATCCAAGTACCGTAGAAGTTGGCTTATGGGTAGGTTCCAATGGACATAACTCGTGATAATTGTCTACCTCATTTGGTAAATCAGGAAATCTCACCATATCGGGTTGAGCTAATACTAATGCATTCTTTTGAAGAATGTCCATTCGTAAACTTTCACTGATAAAATAGCTAGGAGCTGCTTGCGGCGGGGGTGTGGAAGGGGCAGAGGAGCTACTTGATGAAGAAGTCTTGGATGGTTTGACAGGTTGCAAATGAGCCGGCGTACCCGGATATACATAGCCTGCTTGACCTGTTCCCATAGTAGCAATCTGAATCAATAAAATGCAATGGTCATTTTATAGAATAACATGTAGATGTATTTTTTCTCAAAATCTACACTCTCAGAAATATTGATGTAAATCTCTTAACTGTAAACAATGATAAGACATGTTTTGGAAAATAACTTACGCCATCCGTTCCCTCTTCCCCTCCAACGGCATCTGTGGCAGCATTGCCAAGATAAAAATAAGTTGTGCCACCTACATTTTCTTGGGAGTGATAAGAATTATTAAAAAGATTAGGGGAACTGCTATTGCTACCAGTTAAACCTCTCCCTGGTACAAATTCTGGGCTGGCAGTTACTTTCTTCTGCGAGTCAAGGGAAAGATTGGATAGATGTTTTGTTACTGCATTAGCATTTAATGTTGTCCCAGGACTTTGACGATTCTATCAGAATACAAATATTATTAAGTATAATTTAATACTATACACACACAATATATATATATAATAATGATATTATTTTGATGATTGATGATATTATTGTATTTCTCACATATATATTATAGCGGAATGAAAATTATATTAATACCATGTAGGTAGCAAGTTTGGACTCCAATGGAACTCCATTTGTTTGAGGGGTGTAAGCAACGAACATTGATGGGTCCATATCTCCTTCAACCACCGCATTTACCACTATTACGTTTAATCTTTGCTTTTGCTCCCTCTTAGAACTATAATTCTTTTTTAATACAATTGCTTGCTTATTTATTCCTTAAGCAAAGGCAAGGCAGGAATAATCAATCTCAATATTTCCTTTGTTTTATTTTATGCTTGTACACTTTGATTTCTCTTCCTCAATCTGTAACAGATCTCATACGTATATAAAGAACAAAGAATCATACACGAGCACAGAAGAATATGTCTATGTTTATGCATAGATGTATAGTTTTTCTTTAATCATAGAAGTATTAAATAAGAAAATCCTGCAAAAGGGAATGCATTATGCATAAATGAAAAATAAATAGACACATTATAAAGAAAAATTAGCGAATATTGCTATAAAATTAAATTTCTTTTATAACCAATATATATATCTAGTTTTCAATTCTCTTTGCATAGTATTCTACAGATGTTTTATTAAATGTTTATGACAGTTAGCATCGCATAAACTTTGAAGATATTACTTTTTATACAAGAAACAAATTTAATTATTTTAGAATAAAATATACAAAGATATTATACATATATTTAATATGTTAACTAAATAAGATTTGCATTATATAATAATAGTAATAAAACAACAAGAAAAAATCGTCAACACTCTTAAATACTATCTTATGCTAAGTAAAAAAAAAAAAAAGAAAAAGAAAAAAGAAGGAAAATCCTTGCATTATTTACATTTACATGCAGAAAAATAAGGGAAATAAAAGGAAAGAAAAGAATCATTTACAAATGAAATGTAAAAAATAATAATTTTTCGATTGAGAATGAACGCTGTAAAATGTCTTGCCACGAATCAAACAGTAATGTAAATAAATGAACTAAAATAATAAATAATAACGGGGGACAGAAAGTACGTAGTAGATATATCATCATAAAGTAAAAGAAACATGACGCTCACACGACCACGACGACGACCACGACGACGAGAATAGTGTCCTAAGTACGTAAGTACAACACGCTATAGTAGTAATGGCAGCTGATTTTGACAATACACATTGGAAAAGAGACGCACGCATATAACCTTGACTTGACTGAATTTCTCTTCGAATTAGCGCGTTCAATCTAACGTAAGGCCTAAGCGCATCAGTTTCTAGCGCGGGAAAAAAGAAGAAGAAGAAAATAAAAATAAAAATAAAATAACCATTCGCAGCTCCTGAGAGATAACCGTAACGGCGTAAGAGCTCGTTATCTATGAAAAAAAGAAGTAAGAAAGAAAAAAAGGGTCGCTCTGAAAGGGTATGCCAAGTTAACATTAATCTTGTTCCTTGTCACTATACACAAAACAAAGAGAGAAAGAGAGATCGCGTCGGTTAACGTACGGCGCGAAAATATTATATTAACTGATATGAGCTTTTTATTTTCTTTCTTTATCGTTTCATTCGAATACAAGAGAGATAGTCGAAAAGATAATATTTTGGAAGAAACTTGATGATTGCAGTCTGACCGTTTAATAACATGTTTCCTGCGTTCAATCCAGACACAAAGGACAGAGAAGTAATGATGAAAAGGTTCTAATCTTGCGTATTTATGGCCTTCTCCCTTTTGCCTTCTCCGAAACACTCTTATTTCTATCTCCTTCCTTGTCACACCTATTCATGTCCTTCGATCGCAGCTGTCCGCTATCGTTGACTGCTTCGGCTTCAACTTCGGCTTCGACTTCGGCTTCGGCTTCTGCTACTGCTACTACTACTGCTACTGTTACTGTTACCACCACGGTCGTTGTCGCCGTGTCGTTGTCGTTAGAAAATCACAACTTATCTTCTTAAGAACCACGCGGTTAATAATAATATATTAATTTTTCGAATTATATTAGAGCGTTTTAACGTCATCGTTAAGAAACAATACCGAATATGTTTATGAGCATACGAACTGTTTTACGTGACTTTGCTCTTATTTATATGATCAAAGTAATATTCAAAAAAGAAATTTTCTTATGTCAAAAAAACTATTGGATTATTTGATTTAACAATAATATATAATTCACGCGCGCGCGCGCGCAATATACATACAACACGCACACACGCATTCGTTAATTACCTCTAATCGTAATTTTATTTGTAAATATTTATCAACGACAAAATCTGTCTTTTTCTTGATCTTAATTTTCCTACTTTCTAGATATAATATTGAATGTATTTATATAGATAGAATTTTATTCGATCGTTTCGTCCAATTGCTTTCCTCTACATACGATAATCTTGATTTCGATTGGTTTACGTGAAAATGATTCTACGATATGATTGGATGCAATATCCTCATCTTTGATGACAATTATTAGATTAGAAAAGAGAAAATGAAAATAATATATTATTTAGATAATAATAACGGAATAAATGTTTATACAACTTTTTAATGTTTCTGGTACATTAATTAATCATTTGGAAAAATAATTTACAAGACGTATGTTTTATCTAGTAACATTGTAACATTATTATCGATGAAAGATAGTTGTGTATAGTTTGATACTCTATCGTTTTCGTAAATAATGTTGTATTTAAGATACTTTAGGCTATAAAAGCAACTTATTATATTATTATAATAACTTTATTGTGTCTGATGAATTAACAAAACGTATATTAAAACGGAAAAAAAGATGAGTCTAAAAATGTTATTTAATTTAAATACATCTTTATATATACGTATGCAAAATGTATTAAGCAGTAGATATTTTGCTTCAAAAGTAGAGAAAGATATTATTGTTGGTAGTGAAAAATCCATTTATGAGACTGCTGAGGAGACACCCGTTTACGATACTTATCAAGAAGAAGAATATATTGAAATTGAAAAGAAAAGGAACAAATCGAGACTCAATAAAGCGCATAGAAATATATTATTTGGACAGCGTCCTTATGACGAAGCCCAAGAGTGGTACCATAATACTGTCAAATATAAAAAGCGTATGCTAGGTAGATATGGTATGAAAGCGGTTGAAGAACCAGCAGGGTTTGCCTGGCCAACCCCAGAAGAAGTCAACGATATGAAAGAATACGAAAGAGTTGCTTATCCGTATAGTATTCAAGAAGAATGGGCAAGGATAGAAGAGAAAAATATAAAAAATGCAGAAGCAATAAGGGCTAGGTATCATATACTTTGTATAATTTGTATAATTTTTAAAGTTGATAGCTTCCTTTTTATCATCTTGTTTTTATTTTTGTTTCTTTTTGAGAACAAAATCTTATCTTTCATATATTAAGGGTATTACAAAATTTTCTAGAGAAGCTGATGTATCTCAAAAAATGGCCAAATTAGATAAATGGATGAATGATTTAAATGCGAGAGTTGCCAAGAAAGAAGCAGATATATTAGAAGCGAAGAAACGTAAAGATCGTTTAATAGAAGAAGTTAGAGATGAGCTTGGTTTACTCGTGTCTGTACACGATGAGAAATTTAAAGCAGCTATGGCAGAAAAAGAGAAGCTTGAAAAAAAGAAATTGAAGGAAGCTAAAAAGAAAGTAAAGGAAGAAAAAATGTTGGCTAGATTGGCAAAAGTATCGCAAACTGATGAAAACATAACTACTGTATCTTCTTCGGATGAACTAATAAAATAAACGGCACTATGTAGTTACTGTACAAAATGCAACAATAATGTAATGTACATATACTCATATAGATAAATAAATAGAAATTCTTTTCATTATATAATCTAATAAAGTATACAATTCGTCATAAATCTTGTATGCGTATACACCTAAAGTAAAGCACATTTATTGTTGCACTTAAAGACAAAAAGTGTAACATGTGAAGATAAATTGTTTGTATTGAATGTTGATTGGGCAATTTTTATGTCACTACTAGTACTAACCAATAAGAATCTAGTATAGAATCTAATCATATTACGGCTTTTATTATATTTCAAAATTCTTTTCTTCTAGCATCGAATACACGCGTATGCGCATCACTTATTATTAACTAATTAAAATGAAAATTAAACAAATATATTATATCATTTATCAAAAACTCATAAAAACTCGTTCCTCCGCTTCCTCAGTGAATCATCGAATAAAAAAGTTCAATATTTACATTTATTTATCTTTATGTAGAAATCGATAATCGATAATCGGTAGAGATATTAGACTTTATCTAATTATTAGATAATTGAAAGATAGGTTGAAAAGCGATCTTTAGAAAAAGGAACGCAATTATTGGTCAGTTTTTTTTCGATATTAGTACTATCGATGTGCAATTTAGTAGTGTTACAGGGACGCACGCACTACGTTGTACTTAATTATGTTAATTTTTTTCGATCTATAAAGTACATGTTCGCGATGGTAGAATTGTTACTTTGCAAATAATATTTTTATATATGCTCTATATACTTTCATATATATATACACACATATATACATATATATATATATATACATATATATATATATATATTTTGATAAAACATTGTATTTTTAGAAGATTTATGTCCTATAGATAAATACAATGAATTTAAAGAAGGAATAATTAGTTAGTAGATAGAACTGTCAAATTGAAGATTGTTCGAAAGAAGAGGTTAAAATGATTGACATCGAACTGTCATTGTTGAAGGATTTCTCCTAATGTTTTAACCTATTCACGATTTGATCAAGAATATATCGATGACTGGAGTGTTTACGTATCTTTATAAACTTTTATTCTCTAACGATGAACGTTGTTAACCTATTGTACGATTTTGACGAAAGTAAATAACATCTTATCGGCTGAGTGATAAAAATGTTAGACTCTGACTTTAATATTTGTTCAATCAACGATTCATAGTTATAAGAAGACTATATAAAGAAGTATCTATTATTTTTATTTTCAGTGCAAGGGCTTATTTTATTAAAGTATGTGAAATAGTGTACATCATAGAAAAACAATGGCTTCAATCTGTAGACGATGGAGATTATGGATATTACCAGTTTTGACTTGTCTTTATGCTCTCTTAATTGTTATATTAGTACCAGTCTTAATAGCTAATTCTATTAAGAATGGTTTTCAAAAACAAGACCAAGGTGCATTGGTGGGTGGAGGATTTGTATTGTTGGCGTTGCCAATAGCTTTCTACGAAATCGTCCAACATATGATATATTACACTCAGCCTAGGTTACAAAAATATATCATTAGGTATGTTATTGTATTTATATATTTCATTATCATTTTCTTTCATATATAGAAATAATTTAGCAAATATTATCATTTTGTTTAGAATATTATGGATGGTACCTATTTATGCGGTTAATGCTGTAAGTTGGGTAATCTTTAGATTAAGTAGATATGTATTTTGAACATATATATGTATTTTTATTCGTTTGACGTTTCAGTGGTTGGGGCTTGTCTATCCCGAGGGCAGTATATATGTTGATAGCTTAAGAGAGTGTTATGAGGCATACGTAATATATAATTTCATGATGTATCTGTTGGCCTACCTAAACGCGGATCATCAATTAGAACATAGACTGGAAATGTCTCCTCAGGTACATCATATGTTTCCTTTATGTTGTCTTCCTGATTGGGAGATGGGAAGAGAATTTGTACATATGTGCAAACATGGTATTTTGCAATACACAGCAGTTAGGCCTATATCAACTTTAGTATCTTTGTAAGTATCATGGAATTAATAAGGGATAATATTTTTTATTTAAATAGCTCGCTTAGGTCAAGAAATATCTTCTAGCTTCTAATATATTTGATATTATTATATCTTTTTAGTATATGTGAACTAAATGGAGTTTACGGAGAAGGAGAATTCAGAGCAGATATTGCTTTTCCATACATGATCGCTCTAAATAATTTGTCCCAGTTTATTGCAATGTATTGCTTAGTTCTTTTCTATCGTGCTAATTCATTAGCTCTGAAACCCATGAAACCAATTGGGAAGTTTTTCTGTATTAAAGCAGTCGTTTTCTTTTCGTTTTTGTAAGTTTTTTAATGTTAGCTTTTTTACAAATGGAAAAGAAAGAAGAAAAAGAAAGAAAAACAATGATTTACCTAATTATATAATTCTTTTCACTTTTTCTTACAGTCAAGGAGTTATAATAGCTCTATTAGTATACTTTGATGTAATATCAAGTATATTTAAGACGGTGGACACACACGATATAAGAAATATATCTTCCAAATTGCAAGATTTCTTAATTTGTATCGAAATGTTTTTAGCTGCCATAGCGCATCACTACAGTTTTACATATAAACCATTTGTAAATTTAGCACAGAGTCAAGCTTGGTGGGATGCATTTAGGTATTAATCAAACATCGCTGGTATTCAATTTTAATTAATTAACCAAATGTTATATATACATATATTTATTTTTATTTAGAGCAATGTGGGATGTTTCCGATGTACATAACGATATTAAGGAACATTTAGGAGTTGTTGGATCATCCCTAAGTCGCAGAATTAGAGGACGCAGTGCTTATCAACAAGCATGGGGAAGCGCGACAGAACGTACATCGCTTCTTCCTGAAGCAGCAGCAGCAATGCCTAGAAGTGCACCAGCTTGTTCATTTTCTAGCTATAATACAGCTGAAAATGGGCAGAATAATAATCCTGGTGATAGTTTTTCTATATCAACTGACATAAATATCGACACGCAGCATACTACTAATAGCATAAGTACATAATTCTGTGTCGAAATCATTCATATGTGAGTAAGAATATTTAATTGGACAAAATTATACTTTCTTTACATCAATCGACATTATATGTTATTTAAATGAAACGAAACAAAAAGAAGAAAAAATACGATTGTACAAATTCTCATAAGAATAATAATAATAATAACAACAAGAATAACAGTGATAATAATAATAATAATAATAGTAATAATAATCTACCTTTGTAAGGTATAAAAACAAGGATTTGATAAAACAACAATAACAATATAAATGATGTAAACATAGTTTTCGGTATCTTTATTTAATAGAATTGATTATTTTTATGTTACCAATGATATTACCAAATATTGTTTATACGTATATTAGTTCCTTACATAGAACAAATTTTATTTAGAGTCTACTTTTCGCGTTGGGTGGATGTATGTGTATGTTTATGCGCGCGCCTATACAGTAGCATATGTATTACGATATTTTCTAATATTGCTTTTGCAAGATATGTGATATTTTTCTTTTGTAAATTCTTTGTATTTCTATAGCAAACATACAAATTAAAAGTCCGGAAATTAAAAGTTCACGTTAAATTTAAATTACACATATCATGCCGTTAAAGGATCAATAGTATTTATTATCTAAAAAGTACCTATTGGAGTTTAATGTTACATTTAATTACGTTGTTAATGAATGAATTATAATTCAGTTGTAATATTATAAATTATTTCATATACACATATTTCATTGCCTACCTTAGTATGCGAATAGCTTTATTTAGGTATATGTTTATATAAATTATTTAAAAATACTTGCATGTTATTTTTAATTCTAATTATGTTTTCAACGCATATCTTCAGCTTGAAAGAATATGTAAAATTATACATTTTCCTATACGTATAGCATAAGATCGATATATTTTGTTTATATTTGCGTAAGAGATATGTGAGGTTATGTTATGAAATTAAAAAATTGACGCCATATTTGGCAACTATGCAATATGGCAGTACTCGTTGTGCGTAAACTATAATACAAATATAGCATTAAGAGACATCGATGAAGAACATCTTACTTGAAGTATTTTATCAAGTTTATCACTTAAACTTCTTATAGGTTTTTAAAACTTTATCAAATACGTGATAATGTGGCAAGATAAAGAGATAAGATTTGATGTATTTTACACGTAATTATTTTATCACAATAATAATTTCATAAAGCTATGGCATATTTAAAAAATTGTTATTTCTTTGTTTCTGCGATATTTTTTTTAATTTTATCTTTGGTATTTTTTTATTCTTTATATTAAGAATTATTCTTTAGCGTTTACTATATGATAATATATTACAAAATATGAAACAAATCGTAGCAATAGGGATAATAATTACATCGATTATTTGTTCTTTTAAATTTAGTCAAATGCAATTACGATCTGGTGAAATGATGGTAGATAAACTCGATCTAATAGAAGACACGAAAGGAAATTCTGGTGACAATGGGAGATTAATTGTAACGAATCTGCGAATTTTATGGCATTCTTTGTCTTTACCAAGAATTAATTTAAGTATGTTTGAAATGAAATTTTATCAATTTAAGAAACAAAAAAATGATGCTTAACTTTTGTCGTTTTCTCAGGTATTGGTTTCAATACTTTCGTTACAATCAATTCAAAAACTGTAAGTACAGTAAGTGTTCTTCTCGTTTAGGGGTTTAAATAAATTATCAGAAATTATGGTATACATACATATAATTTTTGTGTGTAATATTTTAGATTAAAGGTGGATACACACAAGCCTTACACATTTTAACGTCTTTTCGAAATAGTCAATATGAATTTATATTCACAAATTTAGATTCGAAAAGTACTAGACATTATACCTCAGTTATTGGTGTATATAGGTGTGATTTTGTTTGCTTTATTATAAATAGGATACTTTGAATAATAATTAAAAAATAAAAGCAAGTAATTTTTATGCAGAGCTTATACGTCATCCAAAATTTATCGAGAAATTAAATTAAGAAGTGGTATTATTAATGAAAATAGATTGACTTTGTTGCCATATGAAAAAGTTCATTCCAGTTCACCAGACGTATGGAATTTATCTGTGGAGCAGGTTTCATATTGTTAATTTTATATATTTCTCCATTTATTTTTTTCTTCTCAAAATAATAATAACAAAATAACATTAATAATAATATTTTAGGGAAATGTCGGAACTTTAATCGTTACGAATATTCGACTTGTATGGTTTGCAGATATGAATAATCAATTTAATGTATCGATACCATACCTATCGATTGCTAGCGTAAGTGATCGATAAATGGTACATCTGTTTATATAGAGATAGTTTTCATGATATTTGTTTGACGTGTGTCACTGGTTTGTTAAATGTTAATCGTTTTTAGGTTACAATTAGAAATTCGAAATTTGGGCCGACTTTAGTAATATTAAGCGACGAAAATAATGGTGGATATATATTAGGATTTCGTATAAATCCAGCACAAAAACTTAATACTCTTCATAAAGAAATAAATATATTAATAACAGCGTATAATAAGTCACCAATCTTTGGTGTAGACTACACTCTTGAATATCAGGTAAAGTTATTCTATATAAATATAAATTTTATAATTAGATAAAATATATTTAGATATTTTTTGGTCAAATATATAAAGATCGAATTGTGTCCAGGGACCGATGGAAGAAGAGATTCACCCAGAACGTTTCAATGAAATACAAGATAATCAGGCTGACATTTCAGATGCTTTTGGGTATTATTTTTTTGAAGGAGGCTTCATGCAAAGGAAAGCAAATTTCTCAAATTATTTAGGATTAGCTATAGAAGATCCCAGAGAAGGAAGCACTTTACAAAATTTATGGGAACTTGTTCCATCTACTTGATTCATTTTTCTACGTATTAAGAATATTTTCTTTTATAGACACCCTTGGCATATAATAAAGGTAAGATTAATTTACAAAAAGTAAAACTAGTATAATATATTTTATTAAATACAATTTGCAAAAACAAAAAGACTATATATTAATATTCTTCTTCTGTACACTTGTTCTTCATTATTGTTTATAAGTGAATCCTTCAATCGAAATAGAGTAGAACGAATGTATGGTGCGTAGAGTCTCAAAATACTTAATATCAAACATAAAATAATAATAATAATAATAATAATAATAATAATAATAATAATAATCATATTAATAATATTTATACAAGAAGAGCATAAAGAGAAACAAAATGGAATAAGATATATTACAAATATAAGGCGTGCAACATTTTTTTATGACCAAATTTTATCAAATGATCGACTTTTGTTATTTCTTTTTTTTTTTTTTTTCAAAGGCTTAACTTGGTCTACAATTTAAAGGATGAACAATCGGTTGATCGTTTTGATCATCGATTTCTTCATTAGGTTCATTATTCTCTTCGGGTTGTCCGACTGGTAATCTATAACCCATATTAATGAGCATTAATTCAAATGGATCTCTATTCATACGTATTTGATTTGCTAATGCGGCGTCTTCTAAATTTTTTATTTCCCTGTCGTTGATACTGCCATCCTAAAATTTATTTCAATGAAAAATCAGTTTTCGTCTTTTTCTTCGTATAATTAATTTTATAAATAAAATTTATATATATATATGAAATATGAAAATACTTCTGGAAGCGGACTCCACAATCTGATAACTGGATCTATACCGCTTGTTGCCAATAAACACGTCGATGGATGTGGCTGAAGGCAATTAACAATTCGATCGTCACCTCTTAATACGCGTACAATATTTGTTGTATTCCGATCCCAAATAAAAAAGGAACCATCGTCCGATCCGGCTACTATATACTGTCCATTGCTTGAGTAAAATTCAATATAATTTTCATTATATATATATATGATGAATTTAATATTATATATTATTTCATATCAATGATTATATATATTTTACATACTTTCCAAAAAAGTTGGCTTCTTTTATGTCGGTTGTAGTGTTACAATGACCGCAAAATCTCATTTTATAATCTATAGTATTGCTTCTCCATTCTTTCTCATAGCCTGAGATACGTGAAAGCTCTTGTTCAAAACTATCAATGTCTCTACCTAAAAAATGAAAATGTAGATTTCTTGTTAGATGATCAAAATTGATATCTTTGAAGTTCTTTAGTTATTGCAAACAAACCAGAATCAATAGCTTCCTTAATATCCATTTTCAAAGCTTTGCATGCAGAATTGGATGCGTATTCAGGAAATTTATATAGGAAATTTTTAATAACTTTTTCAGCTTCTACCGACCTATTAAGATCGAACAAACATCGTGCTAACCTATAAATATCGTACATATGTTAAAAATAAAACAAATAAAAAAACGGAATGGTTGTGTAAGTTTGATTTCATTGTCAATTATGGAAGAATAAAAGAAATTGTCTTTTTAACCTAAAGTGTGCCTTCACATGTTGTGGGTCAAAAAGCAAAGTTGTCCGACAATCGCGTAAAGCGGCATAAGTATCGCCATCCCTGTAAATTGCAATAATATAGCGATAATTAAATAAATAACCTATTCAAGTGTAATAGTACCTATACTGTGTAATTATGGATAGTAATATTAATAATTTTTTACTTACCAAGCACGTTTCATAAATGCTGCAGCTCTATTAGCAAAAAGTACAGCTGCCGTGGGGCAGTAACTAATTGCTTTATTATATAAATTGATTGCTATAGTATATTTTTGTTGCTCGAAGCCTTCGTTAGCCTATAAAAAGAAAAGAAAAAGAAAGAGAAAGAGAAAGAGAAAGAGAAAGAGAAAAAGGAAAAGGAACAAAGAGGAAGAAACTCGTATAATAGTAACAGACAAACAAATTCAATTGATATGATGTATAATATACCTGACGCTTTAAATCTTCGACATGATGAGGCAGAGTTCTAATATTTTTACTAGCAAAATTAACATCGTAGCCTTCTATACAACCATTTTTTGATTTGGAATCATTTTCATTAGTCTCTGTAAAAAATGATAATGAATTTGATTGAATTCATCATTTCTTGAGAATTTAATGACTGAACTAAATGGAATAGAAAAAAACAAAGACACGCGTAAACTCTATTCTTATTCTATTTCTTACCTAAAATATTTTTAATATTATAACTTTGAAATATTTTCGAATTTTTCGTATTGTTGATATCGTATAAATAAATCTGTTCTCCACCCATATTAACTAGCAATTCATTCCCATCGGCACTAAAGGTCAAATATGTTGCTGTAAGACTTCTGTTACCGTCACGCGAACGTGAGTGCAGGTGGCCTATTTAATGTAAAAGAATAGTCTCCGTTAGAGAGATCATGTAGGAGGCATTAAAAAGGAGGAGTAAGTATAAAGGAGCCGCGTACGCTATCTCTGATCGTACGAACGAACCCGCGATAAAATACTGTGCGCAACCCAATGGTACATTATCCTCCAGATCACCTGCACCAGCTCGAATGAAGTCAAAATGCCTCCTGCCCCAGTCAACGATCGGTAGCTGTATTATGGAATAGATAGACAATATTTTTTAATCTATCCAATGATATGCATACAAATGATTATTCAATAAACATAACCTGAGAAAGTTTGATCATTCTACGATCATACATCCTTATGTAAGCATCGTTAGCTCCGACAGCTACCAATTCTGGTCTCTTAGGATTTATGGAGATACATTTTCCTTCCGCAGATTTTCCCATATGATTGACCAAGTTTATAAGTACGTTAGGCTCAGTATTTTCACACGTATGTGGTGCACGTATATCGTACTGTAAGACCAATCCATCCTCAGCCACGCTCCAAAATAATGAAGGTATACTTCCTATCGTAGCTATACGTTTAACACGTCCTAGATGACAATTGCATGCAAGGATGGGTTCCGTTAGACTAAGATCGTGCACTCGTACTTTACAATCAGCTGCCCCTGATACCAATACATTATTATTTGTCTTTGGCATGAACTAAAAAAGAATATTTATTATAACGATGAGTCATAACTTAGTTCAAGTCAGCAAAGTGAAAGTATCAATCAAATGCTTTTATAAACAGATTGACAAATTAATCATAATAATTAACCATATTTACGTATAGATATAGAAATACCTTTACAGAAAATATATTTCCACGGTGCCCTGTCTGAATAACTACTTTTTTTTCATAACGAAATGGATCCCATAATATAATATTTGTATCATCCGAGGCAGAAGCTAGTATCCTAAAAATATAACCATATTTATCACCAAATTTACATTGATTTCATTTCATTGAAAAATAAATAAATAATACTTACTTTCCAGTTTCATCCCATTCCAAACAATTAACACAACCCGAATGGCCATTTAATTCTTTTTCTAGTCCTAATCGCAATATCAAATTTTCAGTAACGTGCAATTTTTGAGAAACCATATGCGCTATGGATTCCTATAGAAAATAAGGTCGCATAAGTAAAGAATGAAATAATGATAAAATAATAATTTAAATAAATAGAGATTAAGGCAAGTAATGACTAAATCATACTTGTATTTCCCTTTGTCGGATTAAATTTACAAGCTTGTAGTAATCTTTTTCTTGCCTATGCATTGCCATGATTATCTTGTATACCGTCTGTCTCTTAATATCTACAATAGTATTATATTAAATTCAGTAACTAAAAAGAGAAAGAAAGAAGAGATAAAATAAATGCTACTTATATAATTAAAAGAAAATGTTCACTTTTGTAAAATCTCTTTTAAAAAGAAATGTTAAAAAAATATTATAAATAAGTTTAATGATTGGAGGAAATATCGTAAAAACATACCAACTATACCAATATTATAAATACAAGAACATAATCAAATGTTCAATACAGAGGTCAAGGTAATATTCTATGCAAGGGTCTAAAATTTGCAAATGTTAAAGATATTCATAATATAAGCACCGATAGGAAAACAGTTAATCAGAGTAAATTAAGGGTGATTATAACAACTTACCTATTTTCAAAATTTACGACATATTTTAATTAATATAAAGAAACCCATACTAACATTTTCAGTCTTATTTCACGTTGACATAGTAATTTTCAAAATCACCATATTTCATTCTCTTTCGTAAATAATAGAATAAAAATAAATATTCTTTACAAGTTCTGCCGTGAAAAAACACTGATTAACGTTGCATTTCCACCATTGAGTATCAGAAGCAGTGCTCTCAATCTGAAAATGAAGAATTTCCTACCGATGCATTTTGAAAATTCACGCTTTTCCCGCCAGTAGAATCAATCTTTCTTCCGACTAAAAAAGTCATACAAACTAAAATAGTTATCTTATATTGTTTCTATTAACAAAATTACATTTATAATTAAAATTATTATTAATATTTTCCTTATCTTTTCTACATGCAATCTTTTATATTATATCTCACAATCAGTAAAGAAACCTACTTTATCGAATTACCAACAGAGTAAAAACGATTTATCTAGCTTCTCCATTTTGTTTAGTAGTTAATTCGTTGATAACGTAGAACGCGGTTACAATGTAACGGTTTTCGCGTCTTTTCGAATCGGACTCATTGGAAATTTCATTTAATTGTATATTTTGTTTTATTTTATCGTTAGAAGTGGTTACAAAGTTAAAATTTAGTTATACAATATCTTTAAAGACAAATCAGGTAAAGAATTTGTATTTTTTCTATATAATTGATCTCGTAAGAATAAACATATTAACAAAATAACCTAATTTAACAAAGTACCATTGCAAATAATTATCCTTCTAGGTTTTATTAAATAAATTATATTAATTATATGATCTAATTTCATTCTTTTACTATTATTCTTGTTATTATTATTATTCTTATTATTATTATTATTATTATTATTATTATTATTATTATTATTATTATTATTGTTCTCATTATTAAATTATTTTAATAATCTTAAATATATTTATATATTAATCGATTAAAATTAATTTATTTCTTTATTTAACAGATACTATCAAAAAATTATATCAGTTTATATGTATCTATTTATGATTGCTGCAAAGGATCATTGCCATTTTTAAGTAAATATTTAACAATGTGTGAGGTAAGATATTTAAGTATATATACATTTATTTTAACACATAAGAGATTAATTGAATCTACATAGTCTTAAGAAAAGAACTATCGATTCCTTCGATGCGTTCAAAAAGAGTATCGAAAATCAACTGGAGGACAATTCAAAATCGGAATCGCAGTCGCAGTCGCAGTCGCAGTCGCAGTCGTAATCGTAATCGCAGCCACACAGTCACAGTTTATAATTCACAGTTTACAGTCAGTCATAGTCACAGTCACAGTCACAGTCACCGTTACAGTTACAGTCACACTTTCGATGTAGGAAAATTCGAAGTAGAAACTTTACAAGAGCGAGACGTATATCGTGCCCGTTGTGGTTTCTGCAAAGTCCTGTGGCAAAGACGAAAGTCTAGCTAACGAGGGAGCCAAGAACAGCTTACTTGGCGGAGGCAGACCATTTTCGAAAGTTCCTCGAGTTGTGTAACAAACTTTACTCAGGATTGGTTGCCCGAAGGGACGGGTGGGGCTGTCGGAAGTGAAGAAAGGATAGAGAGATAGACAAAGAAAGAGAGTAAAGAGAGGGAGAGAGAGAGAGATAAGCAAGGAGAAGTAAGTCTCAAGTAACATGGCCAAAGAGGAAGGGAACGATGGAGAAGAGTTCCTCCGAGAGAAGAGATTCAGTTAGGATACTACATAACTGATATATATATATATATATCTTATGTATGTATATACTCGTATATACCTACAGACGCGTCCGATGAAATACGTGCAAGCACGTAATAGCAAGCGATACGGAGATACCTTTGGGAACGTGCTTCTTTTTGCAAGCNATATATATATATATATCTTATGTATGTATATACTCGTATATACCTACAGACGCGTCCGATGAAATACGTGCAAGCACGTAATAGCAAGCGATACGGAGATACCTTTGGGAACGTGCTTCTTTTTGCAAGCTTTCCATTTCAAAATTGGAAATATAGTATATCTAATGAATTTGTATATTCTCATTTTTCTCAAATGTAAAGAGTAATATTTTTGTTTGGAAATTAGGGTAAGAAAGAATGTTATAGCATTTGGGAAAGACACGGTGATTAGAGGTCGCGATCAAAAACCACGAAATGTATCCATAAAATGCATTTCGCGACTGCATGAGCGAAATGCAGTCGCGACAGGATCGACCAGTCTAATGCCCTCGCATTTCTAATTCCGGCACTCGCTCACTCGCTCGCGCGGACGTCAAACAAACAACCGGCAATTAAATGCAAATACGGCTAATGCGTTCTGGGTCGGATGTGCAAGTCACCGTGCTCG